GATTTCTACTGTAACCTCCACCTTTTAGCTCTAGTCACCTTCTTCTCCTTTTGTTCAATCGTAAAATTTTGAAGCTAAGCAAGTTTAAATCTCATAATTTTTTATTTTTTGTGTATGTTTATACATTAATCCACTAAAATTCAATCCCAAAATCTTCTCTCTTTTTGCTATTAAAGTTTTTTTCTAGAATATTGTGTCATAATCTCAAATTTTGGTAAATTTTGGTAAGTTTTAATTTGTATTCTTAAATCAAGAAATATTAAATAAAGGGTGGCAGAAGGAGTGGCCTCGCCACAAACCCGTTTCCAGTGAAACCGCGGCATCCATTGGTTGTAAGAGGTGCTGCACCAATTCCGGTAATAGCCCTTAATATATACCGTAATGAAAAGAAAAAGGAAAAGAAAAAAGGTGCTGCACTGTAAATGAATACGGGCAAGGTGCGAACACGCTGATTCTCGTAACAACAGATTAGGTGTTGACACCTGTTGGACCATTAGAGGAAAAAATAATAATAACAAATAAAACGTGGGAGGAAGGTGCAGCAAAACAGCATTCATTTCATTTCCGTGTGGTGCTGCCACAGGGGTGCTGCGTGGCAGCGCTAGTGCGTTAGGGTACAGCAATATTGTAAAATTAAGTATTGATTAAATTAAATGAATAAATATTTATTTATATATAAGTCTTATATATTATATTTATATGAAATTTTAATTATTTATTTTTTTTATTTTTAATAATTAAAATTTATTCACTTTTTATCATATTTGTTAAATATAATTATTTTTTATTTAAAAAGTCATAATAAATTTTAACTATTGAAGGTCAAGATTAATGAATAAAATTTTGTATAAATATAATATGTAAATTAAATTGAATTAAGAGTAAATTTGTAATTTATAATTTATTATGAATTTTAGTTTATTATTATTCGACGTAAATTTTAGGTTTCCAATTGTTGCTCATCCTGAGTTTAGGATCTTCCTACTCAAAATAAGTGAATCCATGGTTACACTCTTGAAATATAACTTTAAAAGCACTGGTTTTATTAGTTTTGAGATAATGACAAAATTAAAAATCCATTTTTGATTAGTTACTATGATTAAATCTTGTTTTAATTTAAATTGGATTTTATTTGGTTAAGCATACCAACTTATGAAAACTACTTGATACACACTCCGTGATGCATGAGATACCTATTTTCTAAAAAAGATAATATTTTCTTGATATATACTTGCGAGCATGTTTTAATGTATGATATAGTCATGTTTTACTTTCTATCTGCCAGTAAGAGGTTATAAGCATTAGCGCATGTCAGTGTATTGCTTGTGGAACCAATTCATTCTTGTTATACTTGTTATTCTACTAATAAGATTATACATTAAAAACCTTGCTACCTACCAATGGGAAGTTTATAAACACTGGTCATGAATTGTAGAGGAGACATTTGTTTTCCTACATGTACCTATTTTACATGATACTTGATTTATACTTGTTTCATGCTAAATTAAAAAATAAAATGGGGAACCAAATATTCATTTACTAGTATTATATCTCATGTTTTTCGTTATCTACAATTTCAAAAAACAATGCTAGAGAGGTTGGGGATCAAGGTGCATGATGGTGTCATATTAAATTTGGTTTGGATTTAGTTAATACTTGAATTAATTTATGGATTTACTTGTCATTATTAGAAAGTTTGAGGATCTAATTAGTAATTATTGCATAATTTGACTTTGAAATACTTCTCTGGATATTATTTGATTTCTAATAATATTGGAGATATTTTCAAACTTTAATTATTCATTTTGGCCTTGCATAATAAATTAATTTGGTTCTGAATCTTATGCATTTATAGGTCCCACTTATAAGCATATGAAATCTATTTTACTCCAAGGTTTAGGGTGTGACAATCTAAATGTTGGAGTTGTGGGCATCCTTTGACAAAGCATAACTGTGTGGTAGAAGGGTGGGTTAGGTGATGTTTGGTTTTGTATGCAAGGCTTGCTGTTGGTGTGGAGTGGTTTGTTTGTTTATGATGGGGGTGTTTTATGGGGGCACATTTTTATGTCCTCAATATAGGTGATGACTATCATAGTAAACCTACTATTGGTGTCAGGTGTGCCATGATGGTGTAACTAACACTAGAGGCAAGAGGATGACTTGGTTTTCATACATATTTTTGTAGTTTTCCTTTTCTAGTTGTATCTATTTTGATGCTACTTAATTTGTGCTTTAAGGGATTTATATGTTGTAGCCAATGAGATTTATAGATTGCTAGAGTACCTCTTCTAAGGTAGAGATGCTATGTAATTGTTTTCCCTCTATTATCAATACAAGATCATTGATCATTTTTCTCAAAAAATAGAAAAAAGAATTGAACGAAGGAGGACTTAAATTAAGAATGAATTAGGTTAATGACTGTGTGGTTATGCTAAGGAATTTTACATTGGGATAATTCTTAAAAAGGGTGGTTTTAAAAAGGATAACGATTGATGCATCATGCGGTTCAACACACTATATAACACACTCATTAAAAAATTATTTCTTAGTATGAAATTGAAGGCAAACAAAGTTAAAAATGCAGTTATCCATATAGCATGCAAGAATTAATTGAATTGGCTGTACTTATATATTAATGGCTAAACTGGGTAGATGTCAAAAGGTATGTCAAACTTTGAGATATACTAATCAGTTTGCTTTAAAAGAAGAATTCCAAATCAGGGTACGTTTGCAATATATTGCCAAAATAAAGTCCTGAATCTTAAATTATCTCAAATTAGTACCCTACAATTGCAATTTACCCCTTCTCCCCATTACTATACCTAAATTCCCTCGTCCATCTTTTCAATTTGCTATGAAAAAATGAAAAAAAAAAATTAATATATCTTTCAGCTTAACACATCTACTAATACCAACTAATTCAATCATTAAATTCTCCGGTTGAAAGTTTTCTCACCTTGAACTCATATTTGAAAATAATTTTTTAACAAATGTATTGCAGAATACATTAAACCGTAGAGTGTACCAATTATTATCTAAAAAAAAAATACAAATTCACTAAATTCCTCAGCTTTTCCTTCCCATCTTGAGTTTTCTTTTTCGTTTTCTTTTTATGGTTTGTCATTTTTTGGTATGATATTCTATCAGGCAACTTGGTAGAACCAAAAATTTTGCTTTGTAGGTTCCCCACCCCGCGCCGCGGCCACCCCGCCTTTTCGCTGAATTGATAAAGTTTTTGTCCACTTAGTTCTTTCTGCTTCTTGTTTTGAAATATTTGCTTTGCTTGATTATGAAATACTTGGATCTCACTGCACAAGGGAATTTGTGCATTTCGTAAAAATTCTTGGATTGTTTTTTACGTTGTTGCTTATATGGCAAAATGGTATATTTTTTAATTGAATAAATATTGCTTAAAATCAAAACTGTTGGAGAATGAGGAACATGAAGTCTGACAATGGCTAATTGTGGTAAAGCAATTGCAGGGAAAGTTGAATTGTGAAATTGAGATTTTTGCAGAAAAGGGATGTAGTAGGGATGTAGTAGGAATAGTAATGAAGAAGATAAGGGGGTAAAGTTACAATTGTAGGATACTATTTGGTAATAATTCAAAATTTCGGAACTTTGTTAGAAATATTTTTCAAAGCTAACCTAATTCAGGTTTCATTGGAATTCACTTCTCAATTGCTTTAGCTTTTATTTTTATTTTATTTTTTTGTCTTTTTATTATCCCAAAAATATATAAAATATTAATTAAAATAAATATTAAATATATTAAATATATTTTTGTGATATTAAAAGATAAAAAAATCTACAGTTATAGTTATAAGGCAGCACTTCAAAACTTTAGAATTATTTTTCTCAAACCACCATTTCTAGGAATTATCCCTTTTTCATTTTAGTAAAGCTGCTAAGTAAATTTATCCACAAAGAAAAAAAAAAAGAAAGTTGAGGAAATTTGATTGCTAGATAAAAAATTTAGAAAGATATGATTTTAAGAGTATGTTTAGTATAGCAATTAAAATTCAGTAGATAATGGGTACTTGGTAGTAAATAGTAGTAAATGGTAGCAAATAGTAGGTGACAAATTGTAGATAGCAGATTTAATTGATATAACCATTTAATTATACAATAGTTAGCAGTTGTTGTGGATTTCAGACGATGTGGAATATCATGCAGAAAAGGGAGGCAATATGGAAACAAAAATCCAGATGTAATTGCTTGCGATTAGGGGATGTCAACACAAGATATTTCCATAGGGTTGCAACTAGAAGACACACAAGAAACAATATTACAGGCATTTTGTGTGATGACAAATGGGTAGATGAGCCAGAATTGGTGAAAAAGGAGATTGTTCGATGCTATAGCAAGCTGTTTCGAGCTGATTCATGGAATTAACCAAGGCCAGGTGCTTTAAACAGGTTTTGGCTGCGAATAAGGAGTGGTTGGAGAGACCATTTTCTATAGAAGAAATTGAAGAAGGTTTGAAGAGTTGCAAAGGGTTTAATGCTCCAAGACCAGATGTGTATAATTTTAACTTTATCAAGTTTGCATGGGGAAGCTTAAAGATTGATTTTGTGCAGTTTTTCATGGAATTTCACCAGAATGGAAGGTTAGTAAAAGGGTTGGATTCCTCTTTTCTAGCTTTGATACCTAAGAAGTTAAGTCCTAGGGAGCTCAAGGATTATAGACCAATTAGTCTAATTGGCTATATGTATAAGTTGTTGGCAAGAGTGTTAGCTAATCGACTTAAGAAAGTGATGATAGAAATTACCGGTGAAACTCAGTCTGCATTTTTAGGAGCTTGTCAGTTGATCAATAGTGTGTTGGTCTTGAATGAAGTAGTGGATGAAGTAGAAAAAAAGAAGCAACCGACTTTTGTTTTTAAAGCAACTTTGAAAAAGCATATGACCATGTGGATCGGTCATTTTTAGATTGGATGATGGATAAAATGGGCTTTGGAGCCAAATGGAGAAGATGGATTATGGAGTATCTTTCATCAACAAGAAATATTAATTCCACGACTTGTTTAATTCAATATGTTTGTTATAAATCAACGTTTCAGTTCTTGTATGTTGTATACATGACTGCATTTTTATATATGTTTGTTTGCTTTTAATTTCAAATAAAAAAAGAATAATTTTTTAATAAGTATATTTTGAGTGTATTGAATCAAAAGGTGTGTCAATCAATGTCCTATACTAAAAAAAAAAAA